TTAGAGCCCGTTTGGAGAACTCTGTTTTCGGCTTATCAGGCTTATCAGCCAACTTTTCTGGCTGTATTGGCTGAAGTTACTGTAGAGGACCATTTTAGCTATTTTTACATATAATTTTTTCTTTAATTTATTAATAAAATATATTTTTAAAATATTTTTTTTGTAAATCAGCAGAATCAGCCAAAACAGCCACTCCAGCCAGAATATCATAAATTTCAGCAGAATCAGCCAAAACACCCGATTTTGGTGCTACCAAACGGGCTCTTAATACTAGTAGTATTTGATATTATTTTATTTGAATATTATGAACAGGTGATTTTTCATTTTGAAACCTTTAGACTTTTTTCATCTCATGTTTCCGTCATTTGTATAGTTTTAAAAAGGAAAGAGGTAAATTTTAAAATCTACTTTCTATTTGTGATGAATGATCGAATAATGTATAAAATAATGTACTCCGCACAAGTGAGTGTTTTGTAGATGTAGGGAGTGTTTGCAATTGCTTCAACTTTAAAAAAATGATTTTTTAAAGTGATTTTGGGAAAAGTGATTAATAGTAAAAGTTGGTAGTGTTTGAGAAAAAAGTGATTCTGAAAAAGTAAAAGTTGGTAATGTTTGGTAAAATAAGTACTTTTTGTGTAATAGAAAAAGTGAAAAGCAGTTTAAAGCACCCTTCCACCTGCTTCCAGCTTTTAGCTTTTAAGTGATTAATTTAAGCAGAAGCTGTCATTTGAAAACACTCTTTTTAGCTTTTTTTTAAGTCAAAAGCTGAAAAGCTCTTATTTTAAACAACCACAAACAGTGCTATAGTGTTGGGTGATGGAGTGTGTGTATAGGACATTACCTGTGGTTTTCTACCATTAATATAACCTCAATGGTATTGTTGGATTATGTTTGTATGAGTGTGTGTTGGTGAAATATATGAGTGTTTTGTTTGATCTTTTTTGGGAAAAATAATCAAAATATCCCAAACTTTAAAGGTGTGTGACATAAACACCCCAAATTTTCATATGTAATTTAAATACCCCAAATTTTATATAAAATGTTATTTTAACATCATGACCATGCATTATTTATTTCAAAAATGTAAATTTGTTGTGTTAATTGCATAATTTAAAATAGCAAATTGAAAACATTGCAATTATATAGAGTGAGGGTAATACTATTTACTTTACAATTAAAATTTAGAATGTTAATTGTATCTTCATGAATGCTAAAATATTTTAAATTATAATATTAACACAAATATTTTGAAAGAAATAATACATGACCATGGTGCTAAAATAACTTTTTATATAAAGTTTGGGGTATTTAAATTACATATGCAAGTTTGGGGTGCTTACCTCACACCCCATGAAAGTTTGGGGTATTATAATTATTTTTCCCATCTTTTTTGGAGCGTGGAATAGAAAGTGTGTTGCTATATGCCTATATCTCCTTTTTTTTATCATCAAAACATGTCTCTATTCATATCAAAAGATTCAAGATCATTACATCAAGCAAAGGGAAAATAAAACAGACACCAACTGAAACTCCAACAACTACGACTGTAACCCTATGGTGAGACTTTGAGACGGTCACCCTTGAGAGAACAACATGAATCGCTAACCATGTAGTGGGTTTGACACAGCCAAAACTATTCTCATAGATCCAACCATACCCAATGACATAAAGAGAGGCAAAAAACTCAAACAAACTGTCAAACCCAACAACAAAAATGGACGCAAGAAAACAAATAACAAACAGATAAAAACTACAAGAAAAACGTTCACGAACTCTAGCACCTCGTGCATCCCATGGTGGTGGTTCAGGAGGAGGTCGTACCACTGGTACCATGCTAAATGATCCTCCATGACCTTTGGCGGCCAAAGACCATGCATCAATCCTCCGTCCCTGCATAACCAAACTCATCATTGCTCCGTGCGACCAGAGTAAACGGATAGGCGGCGCCGATCTTCTCCAACGACGACAGCAACGCCACATCCTTGAACCTTGACCACAGCGCCGATCTCCTCGAGCCATGACAGCAAATCTGCCTTCCTCCACCGATCTCCGCCCTCCGCGTCTGACCTGGACTCCAGTCGAGCACCAGCGACCAAGGTATAACAAAGCCGATCTTCGACAAAGTCGAAATCGGAAAAAAGCTCCAGCAGCCGACATAGTCAAAGCCCTAGAGAGAAAAACTCGTGATCGCTCTACCTTAGCCAAAAGCAGACCATTGCTCCGCGGCCAGATATGCGAACAAGAACAGCCGAACTTCGATCAATATGATCGAATTCGGAAAAAAAGCCTAGAGGAGGCTGCCCTAGGAGAAACGATCTGGAACCCCAAAAAGGCCGGACTACGAGAGTTAGAAATTAGAATAGTTTTTATGGTTAACAATGATGCACATATGCCTATATCTCCTTTAGATCTAGATATTCTTTCTTTATTTCAATATTTGCGGCTAAGAATTATTCATATTTAGTTGTGCATGTTTGCTAATACTTTATTGAGTTCATTTTTGGACTAGTTTGATTGTTTTCATGTTAGGGTGTTTTACTTGGATTGAAATTTTGTGATCTGTCTGGTCTGGTAAATGTTTGATCTTTGTGTATTTTATAATTATCCGAGTTTGGTTTGGTCTGATTTGGACTTAATTGATCTAGTCTGGTCTAGTCTGTGACTGAAAACAATTCAAGTAAAAACATCTAAAATTAGGCAGTTGCATAAAACAACTCATTTGGTAGGATGCATGTAAAAAATAAAATTAGAGAAAGTAGTTGAAAAATAATGTTCGTATGGGAATATTTCCTGACAAAATAAAGTGATGGTTTTTAAGGGGTGTTTGGATCTGATTCTTAAAACTGCTTCTACTTCTTCAAGGAGCAAAAGCAGAAGTTGGAATGTTTGCGTAAAAGTTCAGAAGTGATTCTGGTGCTCTAATTTACTCCTAGAACCATTTTTTTTAGAAGCTATGGGAGACCAGCTTCTGAAAACTGATTCTGATTCTGCTTCTAATTTAAAAAAGAAGCAGAAGCAGAATCAGTTCCAAACACCCCCTTATACTACTATTGATATATCATAATAAATCGGGGATATTGACATAAATAGAAGTAAACAAGTTTTTGAATTCTAAAATAGTATTGTTATGTGTTTTCTTCTTGAAATATGAGTTATTAGTGGCATATATGGTTGACAAATATTGTCACTAAAGGTTGTAAATACTGTCATGTTAATGTCTCTTAATGCAACTATTTGACATTAATGACTCCAAGATGATAGTAAATATGACCATGTTACTCCTATTTCGTGAAAAAAAATATTGTACTCCTATATCACCTTATTGATTATGTGTTTTATTTTTTGTTGTCTCAAAATAATGTTCATTTTCCGAGCACAATCGGCTTTTTTGTAATTCATTTCAATATGTCCTGCTTGATAAAGAGTATGACACAATTACGGATGTTCGCCAGTTCTGTTTGATCGATTTTCAGTTTGGTTGGTTCGATTTGATCGGTTTCAATTTTAGAAAAGGTGAAATCGTAAACCAAACCGCACTACTTGAGTCGGTTTCAGTTCGGTTTCGGTTCGATTATGTCGGTCGGTTCGTGTCGGTTGCGGTCGGTTTAGCATGGTTTTGTCGGTCGGATTCGGTTCGGTCTATTTTTTACCCCAAGGTGAAACCGTAAACCGAATCGCCAATGATTAATTGGTCGATTTCGGTTTTTTGATTTTTTGTTCAACCGTAGACACAATTGATCTCGCTCGAAATATAAACCTTGTTTTCATAAAGTTCACTCATTTAACTAGTTTGTATATTAAGAAAAATATGAATAGTGAATTATCTAAACAGGAGTAAAGCATGCTGTTGAGTTTAATCCAACACGATATAGTAAATATATGTATGAACACTCAGTTTTTACGTGGAAACCCGAAAGGGAGAAAACCACGGGACTTTTTAGGCTAATGTCCAAGCCCTCTCTTTCTCATTAGGACTCTCCTCACCATTACATTGTACAAGCTCCCATTAATGGAGTATTGAGCTAAGTCTAAAAGAAGGAGGAAGATGAAGCTAAAAGAGGATCCTTTACATGGAGGCTAAGCTCCATATATATAGGAAATAGGGGGAAAGGGGGCTCTCCACCCTAACGGGCCGCATGGACCGGAATGGGCCCAAATGGCTAAAGTGGGCCAGAATGGGCCGAAACGGGCCTAGCTGCTTGGGCTCCGTACTAGATAATGTCTTCGGCTCCTGAACAGTAATAGGCCGGGATAGTATATCCCAACACATGCCTAAAAATCACAAATAGGACTATGTTATTAACTTATTTTAATTTTAAATTGTCTAAATAGGATTAATCATGTTTGTTTGACAAATGTACCCCTATACCATTTTGGACTGCTTAGCCCAACCGTCACCATCAGCCACCGACCACCACCGCCAGCCTTCGGCCTCTGGGCACCTCCTCCGGCCACCGGCCATTGCCCAGCTCAGTTTTTCTACCAATTTCACACAGGGAGACTCGCCGGAGCTCCACCGCCGCTGGCCCCGCCCGCCGCCGCCAAATTGTTCTGCCACCACCTACTGCCCTGCCACCAACGTAGGGCACCATTGCCCAAGGGAACTAGGGAGGCAATTAATTAGTTGAATTAGGAGTATTGCATGTAGAAAATTAATGCTTAGTCCTATACTCCTATTTGCAAAAAATGTTTTAGTACCACTTGTACTGTTGTTGTACAATCATGTTTTCATTTAGTCCTTTTAGGGAGGGAGAGAGAATAGTGTTTGGTAGTGAACTACTACGTACATTGCGGTTAATCTTTCCTCTCTCTTTTTTTTAAATGCTTTATTAGGAGCAGCAATATAGTAGAATCTTTGCTCTCATCCAACACATTAAAACATGGAGTGAAAATTGCTCATATTAGCAAACATACGTTTGTTTTTTTCTTAGAGTTGTGTTAGATTCATTGCCTCCTAGGCTAATGCTCGTTCAGACAAATCAAATTGAACAACACATGCATTTCACAAAGCCAATAAAAACAACTCATTCATTCATTCATTTCATTCAATATATATTGACATCACTAAGATCTACTCATGCCAAGTACAATTGTAATATTTTGTACTTTAGCCTACAAATGCTGGGGTAGACCGTAGACCAAGTCTACCTAAGATTTGTTACCATTATTGTTACTATGATTATTATCATCATATTATTGTTATTGCTATTAGGATAATGATGATATATACATGATAAGGTCAAAGAGTGGTTCTCAGAATGGTAAAATATTCTTAATTTTACCCATAATAAATTAGCAAGGGCAAAATTCCTAAACCACTCTCTGAACCCATACTCGTTCCTATCATTGTCCTTATTGTTATGCACATAAGACCGAATATTTACATTTGACATATGGAGAGCAGCTTGCATAACTACATGCTTTGTCCTATTGATGCCAAAAGTTACGCCTTTCCATGGAGTAAATGGTTTGTCAAGCCGAGGTTAGCAGTGAGATCTTATCTCTGCAATTTCGAGTGCAATTAAAGAAGCAAAAGATCCAGTTAAGGAAGCCAGCTTCTGTAGGATGAGCAGCATCTGTTTCCCGTTTCTGGATAACCCTGAGCAACTCATCTGAGCTTAAACTTCCATCACCATTTGTATCAAACACATGGAAAATTATATCTATCACGTTGTCTGTGAGCGCCACCCCGCAAACCTGTATGATTTTAGTTATTCTCTTTCAGTCTCCTTAGTTGTCAGTTCAACCATACCAAACATATCAAGACACCATGGAAAGTTACCTTCACTTCTCATTTTACCGTGAATCCAGACAAGTTTTGGTGGCCAATGGCATTTGTGTAAACTAAGTATCTAGGTTACAAATGCCCAATAAGTAATAATGTCAATTCTAGCCAAGAAAACTCTGTAGATTCTATCCCTATAAGATGGCTCTTTACCATATGTTGCATATTCAATTTTGAAGGGTGTAATTAGAAAAAGGTAACTAATGATCCGTGGTTTTTCTATTCAGAGTGATATAAAAAGGGCTCTACCAAAGAATGCTTACTTGAGAAGCAGCTCTTTTAAAATCAGTTCTGGTCAAAAGGCCGTTAACTTTCCCGTAACTGAAAAGTGCAACCGAAAACGGAAGCAAATGTCTGCGCAACTCCGCAAAGCTTTTGAATTCATCAAATGAGACGCGCAGATTGCACAATTGTGGGTTGTTGTCCATATGATCGACCCGTCGAAGCAATTTGCCCAAATGACTTAAATCAGCAGAGGCAACCATGGACAAGGCGAAATCCTTTGCTGATATGGCTCCTTGTGACTTGAAATCATAATGTGCAAACTCCAACCTTATCACCTGGTCAGCACATGTGATAGAAAACACCAAGGCAGGACATTATTGCAAGGAGAAGAAAGAGAAATAACATCGCGGGGGGGGGGGGGGGGGGGTCAGGTTGAAAAAAAGGAAAATGGAATAAACTACAAAATAAGTTTAGACATGGTCTCGTCATTACCTTCATCCCAATTCCAAAATAAGTTCTATTTTGTACAATTGTCATAAATAATGAAAAGTACTTGTGCTTTGAATCACATTTGTTGGTTTAATTATATTTATCATATGCAGCTTGTAAGTGACTGCTTATTTGCAAATTTTGGCAAATAACATGACTTAACTTTGTTTGAGGGGCAAAAAGAGTGTTCAAACAAAAACTTAGTAATCTGTAGTACTTTGTTGAAGCCTGAAGGCAAATGATGATGCTATAAATTTCAAACTACTATACTGAAGTTACAGGTACAAGGCCAATTTGAATCATTCTGAGAGAATGGAAATACGATAGAAGCACATGTTTTCTTGCAGATTAAGAGAATATGTAAATTCACATATCTGGTAAGGAAAGAGGTCAATGATATCAGTACAAAAACAAAAATTTCATTATGATTCATTGATTCATAAATTGGAAAGGGTCTCAGAAAGGAAAACCACCCCACAAGTGTGTATGATTCTAACTATAGAATCAACAGAGAACTCCGTCATCAACATCAGAACTTCAAATGGTTACAAATTGTTATGATGGTATTCTGTTTCTTGTTCTATTTTGTTCTTCGGATCTTAATCACTTTCCAAAGAACTCCATATAATAACAATCGTCCATCCCCACAAAGACAGGGCATTTGATTTTTTTGGTCAATGGTGTTGAACTTTGACCAATAATATACTTTTATACACAATGATTTATAATGTGAATATGTGATAGTTATATAAAAATGTTCTTTGTTAAAAATAGTCCCATCAAGTACTAATATTCTAGTTTTCAGTTAAATATTTTGATTTAAAATATCATGCAAAATTAAACATCTATAACTAAAAAAAGTCAAATGTGGCCTATCTTTGGGGGCAAAAGGAACATCATGAAAGCAAATCATTCATCACATCATTAGAACTGCTACAAAAGTGTGGCAAGTGGTCTTAAGAGATAGTGTAGAGAGGACATACTTCTTCATGAAGATTTCTCAAAAACTGCACAAACTTATCATGTTGAAGCTGCTGCTTCCCATCTTCCCCAAATAAGTATTTAAATAGGCCTCCATTTTCGACATGACCACCTAAATTTTGCCCTGCTCGAAGTCCATCACTATGGTGGGCCCCTTGCCTATTGTGAGCTTGCATCAATGCCATCACATGTTTGAACTCTGCCAAATCTATTGCTCTGTGATGAAATAACTAACAGAATCAAAATCTTTTGAGCCAATGGATAAAAGCCTTTATACATAAATCGAGAACCGGGTACTTTTCATAATCCAAGATAGCAGAGAAGCGACAAAAGACCACCTGACTGAGATGGAAACACACAATTGACGGATATATTTGAACTGCAAGAAACAGCCAAAAAACGCAGAGTTCCGATGACAGTATAGCAATGCAAATGACACTGAGTAGCAAAACCAATATTAAATTTTTAATGTTGAGTTCCCACATTGGTTGTGTCTTGTGTAATTTAGTACTACCTCCGTCTCACTAACATTGGGACATGAGGAGGTGGTGCGGTTATTAAGAAAAGTAGGTTTATGTGGTAGATATTGAGTTGATGAAGTAAGAATAAAGTAAGAATGATTTAGAACCACACAAATTTTACCAAATTTGGTATGGGACAATTTTAGTGGGACGGATCGGAAAGGAAAGATGGGACAATCACAGGGGGATGGAGGGAGTATATAACTTTGAGATAAATCGTAAGTCGAGGATCCTTTTGGGTTGAGTTACGCCCAATTTAACATTTAAATTCGCTTCAAGTACATTGACCCTTTCCTACCAGATTTTTTTTAGTTTTTTTTTAAATCTAAATTAAATTATAGTACGGAGTATTATAATTCACATGTAAATAAGCTTCCCAAGTTACTTTATGCACTCTAGTTAAGTATTATAGTACGGAGTATTATACAAGGTGCTACAAAAAATCAACTTCAATCTAAAAAAGAACAGTGAAGTTATATTATGCAAAAAGTGGAAATGTATACACACAATTGACGGATATATTTGAACTGCAAGAAACAGCCAAAAAACGCAGAGTTCCGATGACAGTATAGCAATGCAAATGACACTGAGTAGCAAAACCAATATTAAATTTTTAATGTTGAGTTCCCACATTGGTTGTGTCTTGTGTAATTTAGTACTACCTCCGTCTCACTAACATTGGGACATGAGGAGGTGGTGCGGTTATTAAGAAAAGTAGGTTTATGTGGTAGATATTGAGTTGATGAAGTAAGAATAAAGTAAGAATGATTTAGAACCACACAAATTTTACCAAATTTGGTATGGGACAATTTTAGTGGGACGGATCGGAAAGGAAAGATGGGACAATCACAGGGGGATGGAGGGAGTATATAACTTTGAGATAAATCGTAAGTCGAGGATCCTTTTGGGTTGAGTTACGCCCAATTTAACATTTAAATTCGCTTCAAGTACATTGACCCTTTCCTACCAGATTTTTTTTAGTTTTTTTTTAAATCTAAATTAAATTATAGTACGGAGTATTATAATTCACATGTAAATAAGCTTCCCAAGTTACTTTATGCACTCTAGTTAAGTATTATAGTACGGAGTATTATACAAGGTGCTACAAAAAATCAACTTCAATCTAAAAAAGAACAGTGAAGTTATATTATGCAAAAAGTGGAAATGTATACAATTCCTGAACCTATGTAGCATGTTCATGCATTGCAATTTTCAATACTTGGATTAGAAACCTACCCATTTCCATCATGATCGAACATCTTGAATGCCACTGAGAAGCTTGCTTCGGGGATACTAAGTAATGTGACAAAAAATATATACCTGTAACCAGATAAAACCTATCATCCTTTCAAGATAGAGATTCCAACCAGGAGTACAGCTAAGAAAATATATTTACAAGAATAAAAAGAATAATTATTACATACTCTTTAAAAGATATCAGGCCATCACTGTTTGTATCAAAGAGCATAAAAAACTCTGAAGGGGAACAATGCAGTTCACCAGGACCCCTTTCCCCTCTTAGATATCCATCCCTCACAAGGTTAGATTCAGATGATGGGAAAACAGGAACAACCGCTCTCATCAAATCGGCTGGTGTCATAAAAGTCATTCCATCCTTGCCACGGAAGGAAGCAAAGTACTCAAAGACCTTCAATGCCACCATTAATACAAGTGAGGCACAACAGAAACCAAGAAACTAAGATCCATGTGAATGTTACCTTTCTAAACTAGTTATAAGTCTCTGTGCTGTTTGTATATTACAAGGTACTCTGTATTTATTAAACACATAAATTCAGGTGGATAAAGCATGTACATTGGTAATACCATAAGGATCCAGACAAGATTAAAGAAAAAACAATCCATAGGATGCAGAGTTTTTATTTAACATGTTTCTCAGTCTAAATTGCCCATTGCCTATAAACCTTAGCTTGTAAAAACTAGAAGAGATATTTGGTCAAAGAAAATAAAAACAGATAAGCTCGGCTGAAATAATCTGTCAAGGATATCTGGTGCACAGGAGGATCTATGTATAGGTAAGTGGGGCAAAGACCTGCCCTAAAATTTCAGAAAACAATTTTAGTGTTGAGATTAATTCTTCAAACCCCCAATTTTCCTGACCTTGGAGGAATGATGCTAGGTTTTAGAGAGGCAAAAAATACAAAATATATTGGTTTCCAGTTTCCCCCAAGTCAATTCGTAATATGAACGGAGTAATTAGCAGTTACTAGGCTCCATAAATAAAAACAGATAAACACAGGCATACATAAATTACCATTAGCTACGGGGTTTAGATCTTATGGGTATGTGTTGTTGCTACATTTTTCTCCCTAAATTTGGCCCGCACTGACCTAGCCAGACGTTTGATTACAAGGTGCTAGATTTAGACAAAAAAAACGTGAAAAAATGCACTATGTTACCTTTTCAGGAGGACTGCGCATCCTAATCCGCTTCTCGTAATTGAAAAACACTTTCCTTCTAAATGCATCTGCAAAATAAAATATTACCATACACTTTCCATGAGCAGAACTTGACCAGAAGGCCCAGAACACGCATATGATGAGCATTGATGTTCAATGCATCATTAAAATTGAAAGTGCATGAACTCGTATAGCGAACCCGGTAGCAACTAACTGATAACATACCTCCAAAGAGAAACTTGGGTCGACGATTATCGATAGAAGACTGCGGGGCAGCAGGAGCAGTAGCCGTTACAGCAGGGTCTGGTGTAGCGCAATCAGAGAAGGAAACAGACGGAGAAGATTTTGAAAAGACAACGAGAGAAAGAGCGAAGGCGGTGCTGATCCCGGAGGCCCACTTCAACAGGGATGAGGCATCGTCGGCAGTTGGATTACTGTTGAGGTCTGCGGAGGCACGGAACAATGGTTGCCGTGGAAGAGAGGTGGGTGGCCGGCGGGAATGGGAGTGAAGGAACGTGGAGCGGAGGGACGGGCGAGATCGTCGGAGGGCTGACCACCAGGCGGACATATTCTTCGTTCAGATGGGAAATGTGACGCGGAAACAGGGAGCGATTTGGATGCCTTATCAATGATGATAGTCATAAGATTGCGAAACAAATTTGTAAATTCACCCACCGGATCATTTAATACAGAGAGTAATTTGAAGGGTAGTAAAACAATAAAACTAATAAAGTACTTGCCCCAAATTTCGGAGTAACTATCTTTCACCTTTTGTAACTGTCCACAAGTTAAAAGAAATAAAAGTGTTTGAAATTGATTTTTTTTCTATTCCATGGCGTCTGGGGAAGGAAGTCTGGAGTCATGAGTATCGAGACCTCCCATAAGGGAGAGTGAGTCGGCGACCAGTTGGGTTGGACCGCTTCCTCATTTTTCTTCCGCTTTTTTAAGAGTACAAACGGGATCATATTCAGTTTTTTAGAAGTCGGTCTTTTCCCAACTTTCACCAAATTGTTTCTAACAGTAATTTAGAGACTCAAAAGTTCTTCTGCACTTTCACCTAAACACACTAATATTTGATTCTGCATTTATGTTCCCTGAAAGAACATAAGCAATTTTAAAAAAAGTAGATTCAAACACCTCCATAAGTACATTTGATTAAATTGATAAATCATAGAGATCGATGATAGAGACGTATACATACAAAGGGATTGTTGGACTATCGCGTCAACACTGGAAATATTGGCCTAAGATCCACAAAATTCGGAGGAATATGAGAATAAACACTTGGTCGATCACTCACACTTCTACAAAAGTTAATGGAGTTGGCGAGTTCTTTGCTTTGTTAGCCTAAAATCATAACAACGCAGCGGAAATAATAGGATCGCTAACCTCCAGCCATATTGTTGATGAACGGTCGAAGAACGTGGAAGAACACCGGAAATCCTTTTCGTCTCCCACTTCACTCCTCACTCTAGATGGTGTATATTGCTTAGAGCCTATTCGGATATGGAGCTAAGCATACATGTGAATGTATGTTGTGATAGGAGGAGTGGGAGGACCATGGAGCACTTATATAGCCACCTACCATCAAGGTGGCTCTTGTAACGGAAACCGTTACAATATCCGCCATCATTGCACCACACTTATGGGACATTATTATTTCATTAATTCAAATATTTCAAAATAATGTTACATTCTCCCACTTGGTGCAATGGATAACCTTAAGAAACAAAAGACATGAACCATAGTGTTACGTCCTCTTAGCTTGAGTAGTACCACTAGTGATCACAATGTATGTTGCCCCTTAAGTTATGGCAAAACTTAATGAATAAACCTTATGTTTATTGCTGGTCCAAAAATAATGGTACATTTTTCTCAACATAATGAAGTGTGCACATCTTAATGAGAAAAATGTCTTAATGCATAAAGATTTCGTAAATAACTGAATGTATTAATACAAATTGGAACAAAGTCCCATATTCGACACATGATCCTTGAATTTGAATGGTGGCATGCCTTTAGTCAAAGGATCAGCAATCATCAACTCTGTGCTAATGTGCTCAATGACCACTATCTTATTTTTTACGCGCTCCCTTATAGACAAATATTTGGTGTCGATATGCTTAATTCGACTCCCACTTTTGTCATTCTTTGATAGGAAGACCGCAGCAGAGTTGTCACAATAAATCTTTAATGGCCTAGATATTGAGTCCATAACTCTAAGTCCAGAAATGAAATTCTTAAGCCATACACCTTGCGATGTAGCCTCAAAACAAGAAATGAGCTCGGCCTCCATAGTAGAAGTAGCGACCGAAGTTTGTTTGGCGCTCTTCCAAGAAACAGCTCCACCGGCCATGATAAAAATATATCCCGAAGTCGATTTCCTTGAATCAACACAACCGGCGTAGTCCGAGTCAGAATAACCCACAACTTCCAAGTTGTCAGTTCTTCTATACACAAGCTTGTAATCAATTGTTCCCTTAAGATACCTCATGACCTTCTTAGCAGCTCTCCAGTGGTCCAGACCTGGATTACTCTGGTAGCGGCCCAACATCCCGACAGCAAAGGAAATATCCGGCCTAGTACAAACCTGGATATATCCCAAGCAACCAACTGCCGACGCATATGGGATATTATGCATGGATTTTCTTTCAAAATCATTCTTTGGACATTGGTCCAAACTGAATTTATCTCCTCTCACTATGGGAGCAACACTCGGTGAACAATCCTTCATCCGAAACCTCTCTAAAACTTTGTTGATATAGGTTTCTTGTGATAGACCCAGAACACCAAGAGATCTATCCCTATGAATCTTTATCCCAATGACAAAAGATGCCTCACCCATATCCTTCATATCAAAGTTTTTAAAGAGAAATTGTTTCACTTCATGTAGCATCCCCTTATCATTTGTTGCGAGCAAAATGTCATCCACATATAAAACAAGAAAACAAATGTTACTCCCACTAACCTTCTGGTATATACAATGATCCATGGGACTTTCAACAAAGCCAAATGAAGAAATTATCCCATCGAATTTAAGATACCATTGTCGGGAGGCTTGTTTTAAACCGTAAATGGATTTATTAAGCTTGCAAACTAAATGCTCACCATGACTAGAAGAAAAACCTTCAGGTTGTTTCATGTAAACCTCTTCTTCTAGATCACCATTAAGAAATGCTGTTTTCACATCCATTTGTTGCAATTCAAGATTGAAATGTGCAACTAAAGCTAAAATCACACGAAGGGAATCTTTCTTAGAAACAGGAGAGAATGTCTCCTTGTAGTCAATTCCTTCGATTTGAGTAAAGCCTTTAGCAACAATTCTTGCTTTATATCTATCAATGTTGCCTAATGAATCTCTTTTGGTCTTATAGACCCATTTACAGCCAACAGCCTTGGCCCCATTAGGCAACTCTATTAGATCCCAGACTTTGTTACTCTTCATGGAGTCCATTTCTTCCTTCATAGCTTTGTGCCATAAATCGGACTCCGGGCTACTCATGGCTTGTGAAAACGTTTCAGGATCATTTTCGGCTCCAATGTCAGTTTCTTGCAAATACACTTCATAATCGCTAGAAATTGCTGGCTTTCTAACTCGAGTAGATCTTCTTAATGCTAAACCATCATCTCCATGAGGATCTTCCGGTTCAACAACCTCCTCAGGAATTTGATTATCCTGAATAGGTGGATCCACTGGAATATTTCCAGCATATTGTGGAATATTAGATTGATCAGTACCAATTTGATCTTGAGGGGTACTGTGTACAATAATCAACCTCTGTGATGACGTGGAAGGTTGGGATTCCATATGATCATGAACAGGAATTAAATCCCTGAACCGATCTCTCCCACTAACTACGTCATTCTCAAGAAATTTTGCATTTCTTGATTCCACAATCCTAGTCGTATGAGATGGACAATAAAACTTGTAACCCTTAGAGGACTGTGCGTATCCAATAAAGAAACCACTAATAGTCCTTGGGTCCAATTTCTTCTCATGTGGGTTATAAATTCTCACTTCAGACGGGCATCCCCAAATACGCATATGTTTCAAACTCGGTTTCCAACCTTTGAATAACTCAAAAGGTGTTTTAGGGACAGCCTTGGTTGGAACTCGGTTCAAAATATACGTTGCCGTCTTTAGTGCTTCAGCCCACAAAAACTTAGGAAGATTGGAGTTGCTAAGCATACTCCGCACCATGTCAATAAGCATTCGGTTTCTCCTTTCCGCAACACCATTTTGGTCCGGAGACCCAGGCATGGTGTATTGGGCGACAATCCCATGCTCTTGAAGAAACTTAGCAAACGCACTAGGTGCTTGTCCATTTTCAGTGTATCTACCATAATATTCACCACCTCTATCGGATCTAACTATTTGTATTCGCTTCCCACATTGATTCTCAACTTCAGCCTTAAAAGACTTGAAGGCATCCAATGCTTCATACTTATTTTGAAGCAAATACACATAGGTATACCGAGAGTAATCGTCAATAAAGGTGATAAAATATTTCTGACCCGGCATGTCCATTTCTGGACAACATATATCAGTATGTATGATTTCCAATATACTTGAACTCCTATTGGCACCCTTTTTAAACTTGTTTGTTTGCTTACCCTTAATGCAATCTACACAAGTTTCAAAATCAGAAAAATCAAGAGTACTAAGTACTCCATCATTAACTAATCGCTTAATTCTTTCAATGGAGATGTGACCCAATCTTCGGTGCCATAACATAGAGGAATTCTCGTCAACACTGGGTCTTTTGGAGCCAGTATGCACATGAAATGAATTAAGTGTGGCATCATTTTGCAAATCAATACGGTAAAGACCATCAGACAAAGTACCTTTTCCAACAAAAGTAGATTTATTGAATAAATCAATAACTTTATTCTTGAAATTGAAGGAAAAACCGAATGGTACTAGTCTTGAAATTGAAATCAAGTTTCGTGAAAAACTTGGTACATAAAAAGTCTTTTCCAAAGTTAAAACAAAGCCACTACTTAAAATTAAGGTGCATGTTCCAATGGCTTCCACATGTGAGCCCATCTTGTTTCCGGATAAGATGCTTTGCTCACTTCCCACTGGCTTCCTTAGATTCTGCATACCCTGTAAAGAGTTTGCAACGTGGATTGTAGAACCAGAATTAATCCACCATGAATTAGTGTTAACATCACACATATTGGATTCATGACAAACAAAGGAGGATAAAATACCTTTATTCTCCAACCACTTCTTGAACTTGGCACAATCTTTCTTCATGTGTCCTTTCTTTTTACAGAAATAACACTTATGTACCTTCTTAATGTCAGCCTTGGGTGGTATTTTACCTTTACCCTTAGCTTTAGAGGTTGTACGAGACTTGTCAAATTTGTTCTTGGCTAAGGTTGTAGCTAGCATGACACTTTCACCCAACTCCATTATGAGCCTTTCTTCTTCTTGCACACACATGGTCATTAGTTCATTAATTGACCACTTATCCTTATGTGTGTTATAAGAGATTTTAAATGGCCCATAGTGGTGAGGAAGGGTATTCAGAATGAAGTGCACCAAGAACGCCTCCGACATTGTTACCTCCAAATTTTGCAATTGAGCCGCTATGTCCCGCATCTTCATGATGTGCTCTCGCACA